TCGACTGTATCAAATGCGGCAGAGAGATCCAGAAGGACGAGGAGGCAGAGGGAGCCCTGGTCACAGATAGAGAGGACATTGTTCATGACTTTGACAAGCGCTGTCTCTGTGCTGTGGACGGGGCGAAAACCAGACTGCAGAGGCTCGAGGAGGGAGTGGAGGGAGAGGTGTGACCAAAGTTGACCTGCAACAATGCGTTCCAGGGCTTTGGTAAGGAAGGGTAGGTTGGAAATGGGATGTAGTGTCAGAGATTAGAGGGATTGAGGTGTTTTTTTTGAAGAGGGGTTTGTTTACTCTGAGTTAGTGTAGAAATGTCACCTGAATACCCCGTTTTCTTGTATTTGTAAAGCAAATCTTTTTGCTGACAGTAATTAATATATAATAATAATCCTTGCATTTGAAAAAGCTCTTTTCACATCTTGTAGATATCTCAAAGCACTTCAAAGAATATACTGTAAAGTGAATTAATTGTATATGTGTGCACAAAACGTGGTAACCAATTGTGCACAGCAGTGTCCACAAACAGACATGGATAGAAGTGACCAATTTTATTGTATTTTGTCTTGAGCGATTGTCAGGCATGTGGAGTAACAAAACTTGCCCAGTGTTTTGCCTTGCCAGTAGGAACGAAGATGTTCTTCTTCTATAGCCCATGCTTCTGAAGAAAGAGAGATAGATACGGTCAATTGATGTTAGTTTAAAGTGCTCTATGTTCAGATACATTTCAACTCCTGTATGGGCACTTTCAGGAGTTTGAAACAAAGGAATAATAATTGAAAATATTTCTATGTTACTTGAAGTGGGGGGTGAGTCAAGGAGAAGTGTTAAGAGTTTTATCTTGGGCAATCTTTTTCCTGTGGGTATTCACTTATATCAAGAATGTCCCTAATAGAAAATATTTTGAGGACTTGAGGACTGATATTCAATATGATTAATGTCCCACACTTTATTATTGAGAAATCTAGTGAAAGAGCCCATGTGTGTAGTGCTGGACTACACTGTACTGTAGTGCAAGTTAGTACTGAAGAGAAATGAAATAAATTTGCAGTGGCATACTGGTTAGATTGGGCCAAGGTTTGGTTAGAAAAGACTGCCGATCGTAGAAGAAGGGAAATCAAAGGAACTTGATGATTTCCACATTCCTGAGTTCCTGGGAACAAGCTAGAGAATGACCAACACTTCTGTTTTGTCCATTACTTTCTCATCAACATTTATTCAGTTGGTCCCACAGCAAAGGTGAGCAGGAGAGGCCAGATGTGTGAGCGGGAAAGCCAATGGTGGAAAGTCAACTGGCTATTTTTGCATATGGTTATGGGATTCAAGGGTTAGGTCTATCTTAAGCTTATTAAGTCTGTTCCCACGGGTCTCAGGTGTATGATTGAAGTGGGTTATGGGCAATTTCAAAAGATTTATGTACTTTGCAAAACGAATGATTGATTCATTCAAATCTGCATGCAAGTTGTTTCCTTTTATTTACAAACGGAATGAGAAAAGATGTCAGTGGAAACATGGAAATGGTATCTATCAGACCAGGTGGTGAGACTGTCTCAAAACTTGTGAGCTTTTCAGGCTTGGGACCTGCTATATATGAGTTGTGCTATGTTCTCCATTACTCTATAGTTTTGCATTTTGGGCTTTTGAGCACAAAAGAAAGCAGGAATGATTTGCTAATCCTGTGCCCACTCACAGAACAACACTTGGTAATGCTTAAGAAAAACAAATTTAACAAAGTTTAGTGCATTTATGCTCCATGTACCCCACCTGGGCCCCCCACTATCAGCGGTTGTGCCTTCAGCCTCTCTGCCCCCACCCTTTGGAACTCCATGCTGGAATCCCTTCACCTTGCTCCCTCCCTTGCCTCCTTCAAGGCATATTCTCAACACCCTCGTTTATCACTGCACCTTTGGCTACCTTCCTACCCCTACCTTCCCTGCCCTCAAACCCCCTGCTTGGGTCCAAATGCCTAACTGTCCAGCACCTTGGGATGTCCTCCTGATGTGAAAGCTGCTTTACAAATGTCATTTGTTGTTTTTTCATGTCTTTGTCCCAATCTGGCAAACATCAGTATCCTCAAGTTGAAGGCCCTGTGGGTAGACCTCACCCAAACCTCTGTTAGTTATGGGCTTGAGGTTTGCTCCTAAGATGAATGTGAATGTTTTGAGTGGTGGCCTATCTTCCAGTCCAGTAAAAGTCACTGAACATCAACTTGGCACCTGGTGATGGCCTGGTAAAGTTCAGAATTTGATGAGTGAAGAATCACTGACTTGAATCCATGTTCTACTGCTGAACTGTTCAAACCTTTCAAAAAACGGTTGCACACATATAATCCTCCTGAATATTGGTTAGATGTTGGTGAATGAACAGCTGAAACAGTGACTGGTTGGAAGAGAAACAAATGCATGAAAAGTGAATGCTGGAAACATTGTCAGTATATAGTCAATAAAGGTCAACATGGACATCTCTACCTTCAAAAGAGCATTGGTACATTTGATGAGTTCAGAGAAGAGAAATGAGGATGATTGCAGTTGTCAGAGCTTGAAGATAGGAAGAATGCACCAAGAATTTAAGTTGTGTTCACTAAAGAAAAGAAAATTGAGGGGAGCAGGAGCGGCATTCACTTGTTGCACAAACTGCTCTTTGAGGCATGCAAAGATGCTATACCTGTGCATGTTGTCAATGTTGTCTAGCAACCAGTGAGGAGATAGTAAATAATGCAAATGTTGTATTTTTCAATGATTGACATACTAATTGTAGTTACAACAACACAATCTGGTCATGCAGCTGTGCAATGTAGACTTTCAGGAGGTAATGGAACAATTTCTAATCTTACACAGAGATGTGTAAAGAGTATGAAAACCCAGCTGGTCAAGCAAAAGGCTTATAATGTAGACTTCCAGCAGAAAGATTAGAATAATTACGATCCACAATAAAAATGAATTTTGATTTGTGGCAAAACTTTGAAAATGTAAAAGTTTATTCAGTTTCCCCCCCTCTGAAACCCCAAATCAACACAAGGGTATCATACATCTGTTTGTTGAGGTGAAATTTTCCTGCACACATATACAGATCTATTCAAATCTACTTTGCAAAGTGAATGATACAGGGTCTGAGTTTCCTTTGAGAGTTAACCATGAAGTGTGTTATTCTTTCCTTGATAGGAAATGTACTGACCTTTGGGCCAGCGCCTTGGGACATGAAAGGCGCTTTACAAATGTAATTTTGGATTGTATTACTTTGCTTGCCCGTTAATGAATGTTCAAGGCATCACAACACCACAGCTGAGAGACTGCAGCAAGAGATGTGCTCAGGGATGCAAACAATGGAGCTCTGTGTGTAATAAAGGATGAATTATAGGACTATTAAGGGCAGATGGCAGGGAGCATTTTGATGAAGTGATTCAAAATTCTTTATTGAAATATCTGTCTGTTGTTTAGAAACTGAATGTTTAATAGTTGTGGCAAGTCATTATTAGAAATACACTTGGAGCCTATCATTAAAGTACTTCTACCCCATCAACCTTTTCGCTTGATCACTAAACTCCGTTCATATGGTCTCTGATGCATTCGGACAGTCATCTGTGTTATGGATGTGTCTCTTCACCTAGCATCAAAGTGTAATGTAATCAATTTCCTGACAGGATGTTATTAGGATGTTAGGATAATGTTCCAATCCTGATTCTAATCCTGAGTATATATCTAAATTGCTAATGCCGCTGGATTAGGAAGAAGAGCTGATTGCTCAGGGGAATGGTTCTTTGAACATTCAAGGCCAAACAATAGCTAGATGGCTTTCCTGGTGCCAAGACAAATATTGGATGATGTTGTGTCAACCTGGCTCAGTTTGTGGCACTCTCGCTTCTAAATCAGAAGGTTGTGGGTTCAAACTCTCCATCGAGACTTTGAGCTCATAGTCTAGATTGACACTCCAGTATATTACTGAGAGAGCACTGCATTGATGGAAATGCCAATCTTCAGTTAAGACATTAAACCAAGTTCCCATCACGCACGTTCAGGCAAATGTTAAGGGTACCATGGCACTATTTGAAAAGAGAAGGGAGTTTCTCCTGATGTCCTGGTGAACAGTCTGCCAAATAAAATTGATCATTCACCACCTGGCAGTTTTTGAAAATTAACTAGGATTTTTACTTTGGTTGTCACACAGCAAAGTGACAAGTGTATAAAGTGTCGGTGTGGGGAATGGTAGTGAATTTTCTTTTTCTCATTTCCTCCTCCTCACACACACACACATGCACACTCTATGGCTTATAACCTCCCAGCGCACCCTTACATAGGCTCACAAATGAAGAATGAGCATCTGCACAAGGTGCTTGAAAGCAGACAGCGCCCCTTGACCCATACCCCATTTGTGAGTCAGGAGAAGGGATGAAAATTGCCTTAAACCCTAAGTTTATGTTCTGAGTAATGACAGGTACACATTTTCCTCATTTAAAAAGTAATTTGATATTGTTCTGGCTACACTGTAATTTATTGCCTGGTGAAAGATGATTTATGAAGAACTACTGCTGCAGTCTTAACTGGAAATGTAACGTAATTGTTTTGACAAATTTCCATGTCTCTAATCCTCACAATCCTCTCATAGTCAGGTGGTTTCCAACAATTAAGGAAAGAGGCAATGCATTTGTTTAACTGGATACTTCTAGCTCTGCTTTCAAAATATTTAGTACAGTATTTGCAGAATTTCATACCGGCTTCATATTTTCATACAAAGGTTAAGTCTGAAAGGTTTAAAACATTTGAAGTCATTTCTGTAACTATTCACAAGGTACATTTTGACATAGCTACAGAATGAAATAGTGGACTTAAATCTGTTGATGAAAATCATTACGGTTATATTCATTTTTACTGGCCACATGAATTACAATGGACTTTTCTGGTTCTATATATTCCTGTATTTCCATGATTAAGATATAGATTTGAGTTTAGACTGAGTGCTTCCTCTCTTCAATAATATCAAAAAGTTGAAACTTGCCTTTTTTTCAGGGCCTTTCAACCAGTTATCTTGGACTACCATTAGCTGCCACAGGAGATTGCAAAATACCCAGCTGGGGAGGACCTCTTGTAAGTATCCCAGTCTGTAAATAACCTTCCTGTGACTAGATGCAAGGTGGTGCCTGGATTGACTGTTAGAGTGATTAATCTACCTGTTAATGATTTGACTTGTGACTAGTGTGTAAAGTGCTTTGAGATCTTCTGACATGAAATGCACTATATAAATGTAAATTGTATTGAATTGTATCTCTGCCCTTTCCCCATATCCTTTTATAAACCCATTATTCTTCAAGAGTTTGACTAATTCATTTTAAGATGTTCTAATTCATGAGGCTTTAATATCAATTAAACCGTATAATAACATGTTTAGTAACTTATTATGTATGTTATTATTTGTTTAACAACTTATTATTTATGTTATTTAAAGTTATGAAACTTAATAACATGTTTTACATCCTAATAGCCCGTTGTGTAAAAAAAAAGTTCTTCTATCAGCCACTTTCTACTTATGGAATCACAGCACATGTTTCCTGTGCTTCTATTTTATCTTGTGCTATTAATTATCATGTTGAGTTTACACTGCTTTGTTGTATACTTTGAATAATGGAATCTGAAGTGTGGAAAACATACTTTCACAAGACCACAAGTTTGGTCTAGATGAAGAAGACTCGTTGGCCCATCCAATCTCATCCCTCCAAAACATCCCTTCATCACTTCATTAAGCTGCTTTTTAAATTAATCTAGTGTCCGGGTCTCTACCACCTTTCCTGCCAACCTGTTTCAGCTCTTGATTACCCTCTGGGAAAGAAAAGCTTTCTGATACCTGTCCTGAAATTGTCCTTTATAACTCTAAACCTATGTCCTATTGTTGTGCTGCCACGATACATCCTAAAGTATTGATGTGGGTTTACTTTTGTACACCTTTATGAGATCATCATTGAGTCATCTATTCTCCAGACTGAAGAGCCCTGGTTTGTCTATCTTTTGCTCATTCCTTTGTCAACGGGATCATCCTTGTTACTCTCCTCTGCCCCGCTTCTCAGCTGTGCACGGTCTTGTATTCTGGTGACCAGAACTGTACCAGTATTTAAGGTGCAATCTGATGTCTGGGTATCAAAACTCAACTGATTTAGCAATATAGCCCAGTGTTCTGTTTGCCTTGTTTATTTCTGCCTCACATTGTCTTGACATAGTGAGCAGTAAGTCAACTAATGCTGTAGATCTGTAGATCTCTGGTGCTCCCATGCTTTCATTACGTCCTGGATTGACTACGCCAGTTTCCCTTTGTTCTCACCTTCAAAGCCCTCCATGGTCTTGCTCCCCCCTACCTCTCCGACCTCCTAACCCCATATCAGCCTGTCCGCTCCCTCTGTTCAGCGGACACCGGCCTATTCCTGGTCCCCGCATTTCCCGTCCCAGCATTGGCAATCGGGCATTCAGCATCTCTGCCCCCACATGCTGGAACTCTATCCCACAATCCCTCTGCCTCACCCCCTCCTTCAAGTCCCGTCTAAGGACCTTTTTCTTCGACCACCCTCCCACCTCTACTCCCCCAGCTCTCCACCTCTCCTGACCCCAACTTCCAGCTTGGTTACAAAAACCCCTGACTGTCCAGCACCCTGGGATGTCTTTCTGATGTGTAAGGTGGAATACAAGTGTCATTCTTTTGTTGTTGTTAGCAACTTCAGTCAATTTCATGTAGTGTTTACGTTTCCATTCTTGGATAATATATGTAGTATCTTGCTTTTATCAGAATACTATTAAACTTCATTTGCCGGTTATTGGCCTGTGTGCATGCCATATCAAGTTCTCTTTGTAGAATCTTTGCTGCATCCTCTATTTCTACAGTTTCCTCTAATTTGGTGTCATCTGCAAATTTAATTATCTTACACTGGTTCTGTGAATCCAGGTCATTAATATATATGAGGAACAGGAGGGATCCCAGTCCCTGAGGCACCCTGCTTAGTACCTCTCCTCATTTTGCTGTAGCTCCCTTCAGCCAATTCTGAATCCACATGATGTCTTGCCCTTGATACCCAGGAAACACAGTGTTTGGATGGATGTTTCATGGGATACTGTGTTGAATAACTTTTCAAAGTGTAGATACACTACAGCTTCCCACAATCAATTTGGGCTGTGCCTCCTCAAAAAGTCTTATGAAATTAGTCAGACAAAATTCAGTAAGTGTTTTCAGCAAGCTTCACAAGTAAAGCTAGCTGAAATGTTGGGCAAGTTTCCGTACTCCACACGCCTCTGTTTACCTAGCAGTAAGTAGGAACCCAATTGGCAGATTGCTTTTCCGGGGATAATAATCCCTCAAAATAATAATAATAATAATAATTCGGTCACTCAATTTGGTCTTGACTGTTTGTGGGACACTGCTGTGCTCAATTGGCTGCAACGATTCGCCCACAAATACACAGTCAATTCACTTTACAGTATATTCTGTGAAGGCTTTGAGACATCTAGATGTGAAAAGCGCTATATCAAATGCAAAGATTATTTTTATAAAGCTAGCAAGGTGGAAGCACCAATAATAAAGTGTGGTAAGTAGGGTTGGATAATTCCTGTAACTGTGTCACTAAATGTCAGAAGTGCTATAATATTACGATTTGTGGGAAATGTGACTGATCACCTGTTCTGCCTTATTAAAAACAGTTGAGAACCGTTGCAAAGTGAGAAAATAGAGCATGGAAATGTGAGTTAATATATCCTTCTTGTAGTAATTGTAATATAACAGATGATGGATATCTCACACCATGTCTTCTCATAAAATGCCTCAAATGCTTCACCAGTTTTTACTATGAAGTGTAGTAATTGTATATTTGTTGGTGAATTCAGCAGCCAATTTCCCCACAGCAGTGAGCCACAAATAGTCATGAGATCAGTGCCCAGTTTTATTTGGGGGATTGTGGCTGGGACACTGAGAAGCTCCCTTCTCTTTCGAATATGAGTGCAATGAGATCTTTAACCCAACAGACCACCTCAACAGACAGAACAGAGCTCAATCTCATCGGAAACGCAGTAACTCCAACAGTGCATCAGCCTAGATTATGTATAAAACTGCTGACCTAGGGTTTGAACCCACACCCATCTGACCCAGAGGCATGAATGCTATCACCTGAGCCAGGCTGACATCTGGACTGGATAATGAGTGGGCCAATAGAAAAGTGCAGCCGCACCTGTACTGCTACAATGACCCTCGCCTGCTACAAACCCACATAAATGTTGTTTCTGGCCCATGGGCCACTCACGCTGTTTACCTGACATCACTGTGGGTGGAGCGGCTCCAGACGTTCATGGCAAGCGGCAAATGAGCTTCACTCAGAGGCTCCGCTGTTGTGATTGTCTCTGTGTGTCTCTATGTGAGTGTGACTATGTCTCTTCTATAAGTGTGTGTGTTTATGAGTGTCTCTGTTGCTTCTCTCTGCCTCTGTCTCTTTGTGTCTATGAGTGTATGTGTCTCACTCTCTCTCTCTGAGAATGTGTACCTTTTCCTCCCCTGGAAGGGTAATATTTCAAATTCAGTGGTTAAGTGCTAATGGAGGGAAGTGCCTGCCCAATTAGGGCATGAAAGTGCATAAAGTTCCCCTGCAGTGTTTAAATCCATAGCTGCACTTGTGAATGTTCACCACTTAAGGTATGCAAAAAAAGCAAATGGGTAACAGTTTCTTATTAAAATTCCTGTCGGCATTCAGGCATTCCTTGGGCAATCAGCTTGCCGAATTGAATCATTAAAAGAGTTTCTCTTTCCTAGATTTTAGTCAGTTTGTTAGTATTTTCAAATTATTTGAAGAATAATGCCAGCCCCATATTTATGCCCACTATTTTTCTACAAACAAAAAATACAGTCATTCAATTTTATAGTATATCACATGAAGCCCTCTGAAATTTCCTCCTGTGTTATAAAGATATAGACTTATAGACCTGTTTTAAAGACCTTGTATAGACCTCATTGCTGGTCATCAATCGGGCTGGCATAAAACCATAGGAGAGCTAAATAGGTTTGGATAAGGACCGTAACTTGAGTTCTAATGTTTTCTTTGCTGTTGATCCAAATCCATGGTAATCCCTCTGAGAAAGAAATTGGGATCTGATCCTTAGATTGCCAGCAGGTCCAGGGAAATGCCTAACTCCTTGGTCTAACCAGTTCACTTAGTTTTCAGATCATGTTCTGTGACTCTGAAACAAATACCAATGCATCGTTAATAAGATGACTAGGATTTTAACAGTTACCAGTTTACTGTATATTGATACCAAGAGGTGTTCAAAATTGTAAAAGGTTTTGAAAGAATAGTGAAAGATTATATGTGCAGGTTGATGAAATAGTATTAAGGGGGCATAAACTCAGGATTGTCACTGGAAAAGTAAGTGCAGGGGTTGTTAGGATTATCATAACCCCAACCCTAATGGAGGTGGTTATTACAACGTGAAAGAGTAGCTATTGAGGCAGAAACCATAATAGTATTTAAATGGGAATCAAATAAGCATTTGGAGAGGAAGCATGTAAAGGGATACTGAGAAAGAGCAGGAGATTAGAATTTAGCTCCAGTTGTTGAACGAAAACCAGTTGAGGCTTGATGGGCTGAATGACCTCCTTCCATGTTGTAATTCTATGAAATATTGTTCCCATATTTCAGTTAAGTTGCTATCAACCACCAGCTTCTTGCATTGTCTCAATCATAACTAACCCCATCGAATGAAGATCTTCAGTTACATGCAGCCTGTCATGTCATTGAATGAAAGATATAAATAATATCTGAAAGATATAATAATAATAAGGTGTTACCAAAGCAATGTTGGTGAGTTGTTGAAGCATTTTCTATTGTTAGTACACACTGAACCTACAGTACACCTACATGTAGGTGTTGGCCTACGTAGCTGGGATACTGATCAAGTGAAGTATTTTCTCTTGGATGGTATTGACCATTTAGAAAGTTGTTGCAACTGCACCTAGCCAGGCAAGTGGTGAGTATTCCATCACCTGTCTGGCACCTTGTAGATGCTGAAGAGGTTTTGAGAAGGTGAGACACTCATTGTGGAGTACCTGGCCACTGCTTTGCTATTGT